GATGTGGAGAAAATGGCATTGGTGAAACTAGCAAAGTGAGTATGTATTAGCACTGAATTGTCGATATTGTGTTAAATGCAACAAAAGCACTTTGATACCTAGTGATAAAATGGTAGATGGAAAACAAGTGCAGCTGCTGGTAGATAGTATTGCTTCTGGAGATGTGTAATATATGTCACCTTTAGAAGGTCTGCAGAGACTACAAACTGTTATCCAGCTTTAGCTTTAACTTTCTGTCAGGGCAAATAGAGAAGAAATTGTGGGATGCATTACAAGAGACTTACAAATCATGGGATGATTTCAGTGCTGTCGGTGTTAGAGTGAAATTTAAACCAATCCATGGTGTTAATGCTTTATAAAATCATAGATGGATTATTTCATCCCCATCTCCTTTCCCTTCCGCCCTTTTTTTCTCCTCATATACGAATGTGACATTTAGCATAGGATCTAATGTGAAAAAAATGTGAACAGTGATGATAACACCAACTTTTGATTGGGAAAAAAATACATGCAAAGGGGGGGCAAAAAGTGGAGGGGAAGGAAATTGTTGCAAACCTCCACGCAATTCCAGCCCAGTCCACAGCACCTTATCAGCACCCGGCACTCTGCACCCCCACCCAGCACAGGGACACGACAGACGCGCTCCGTAGGGTGCAGCTCAAGTGCCAGTTTAACGCTGCGCAACAGCTGCCTGCATACTGTGACACGCGACCCATTGAGTGCCCCCCAGGACCACTCCTGTCACCAGCACCACCTTAGCCCACGTACCGCCACACTGAGCACCGCCCGCAGAAATGGGCAGGTAAAAGATGGAGCTGCTGTATAAAGACTTTTTTGGAACATGGAGAAAGAATGAACTCTGGAAGAGTAGGAAGGAAAAACTCTGTTACAGACTTGGAATGTAACAGAACAGACAAAGGTTCCTGCTTTAATTGTATCCGCACTGCTTCTAGCAGGTGACACCTGACTGACTGCCTTCCTGATAATGTCGCTGTTCTCAGGCTGGATCATTTCTTTCTATGAGGACAGTACATGCATGTTTTGCAAATTCTTAAGGAAGAAAAAAAAAAGTGGCTCTAGTTAAGGTCACACTTCTCATAGGTTCTCATAGACCAGTGAAGTCTGACAAGGTGATCTTGTTCCAGTGGCTATTTCATATCATTTATTTATGTATTTTCCTAGGCTGCATGAACAGCTGAATGAATCTGAACAGGCTGCTCAGTGCTATATCAAATACATCCAGGATATCTATTCCTGTGGGGTAAGACTATCTCTTGGAGAGCAAAGGAAAAGTAAACACGATGTAGAACTACCTTGGAAAACACTCAGGCTGTTTTTACCCTCTTCACTGTAGGAGATAGTGGAGCATCTGGAGGTTAGCACTGCCTTCCGTTACCTTGCCCAGTACTACTTCAAGTGCAAGCTCTGGGATGAAGCCTCAGCTTGTGCTCAGAAATGCTGCTCATTCAATGATGTGAGTAGTTGCGTGATTCCTGGGGTCTTACTTGGGGAATAACTGACTTTAATCTTGGCTACCCTATGAGTAGACCAATCTTTCACTGAATGAATGAGAGCTATCTGCTGCGTAGATGAACAATTTCATCCTGAATGTTTTTGTGATAGACTCAAGTCAGGGAATATGGCATAGATAAGTAAAACTGGATCAAGTCTCATTACTTTGGTGTTCACTAAATAAAAGAATTTGAGGCTGCAGATGGCAGCCTTAAGACTGCTGAAAATCTTGGTGGGGAGATGGTTAAAAGTTGAGAATGCCCCATGCTACAGTGGGGTTACTCACGTGGCTTCTTGTTGCTCGTCTTGTAAATGTAGAAAGTGGGGACAAAAAGCTTGAGTTTTGTAAGTGACTTCATATTCTGAGATTTTCTGCAGCCTGTAAGTAGAAAATTCTGGACTTTTTAAAATTCCAACCTATGAGAGCCACCAACAAAGGCTGCTGCGGGGTTTGTGTGCCCGGTTCTTATCTGAGTTGTCTGGAACTCAAAAGAATTTGAATTTAGCTTATTTGAAGCTTCTCCAATCTACTTCTAAATGGAATATTTAGATGGCTGCAGTGGTTGATGGTACCAGTGTCTGAAATACCCAAGTAATATGCAAATAAGGTGAAAAGAGGGAGGATTATTGTTAAGAAGTCTGACATACCTTAATGTTCTGAGGGCATTCTTAAATATCTTCCATAATGATGGCCTTATAGAGTGACAAATTACTAAAATTTAGACAGATTGTGTATTGAATTTGACACAGAAACCACTCATCCATCAGTGTGCAGTTTTTGTTTTTTACAAATTGTTTTCAGACTAGAGAAGAAGGAAAGGCGCTGCTGCGGCAAATCTTACAGCTTCGCAACCAAGGAGAGACCTCCTCCACAGAGATTGCTACTCCCTTTTTCCTCCCGGCATCCTTGTCAGCCAATAGCACTCCCACACGTCGTGTCTCCCCGCTCAATCTGTCTTCTGTTACACCGTGAGCGATGCTGGTACCTCTCACCTGTGTGTTGAATGTGATGTTGTGGATGGGACTTGCAACCACCTAGTGTTTTCCAGTGAAATTTTTATGTTCGGTGTTGCCTTCATGGGTGAGGAAGGAGGGTAAAGAGCGACTGGAGCCCACAGCTGAAGACGGGTTGCCCAAATAGGCAAACGTGCAGCCTGCTTGAAAGTGCCTACTCTTACATGTGAGAACATGCTCTACTTTTCACCAAGTTATTGCGGTTGAGAGAGCAGACATGTTCCAATACATGGGTCTGCTAATAGACCGTGGCAGGAGACTGACTTCATGAGTTTGTGTGCCTCTGGTCCTTCTCTGAACTTCTCTGGATAACCTTCTGTCTGCCTGGCTGCTTAAGAATTTTTGCCTGTCTTGAGTTACAGAGATGATGAAGCAGTATAAGACACATAAAGACAGTTTCCATGCCTATGTCAAAGGACTGAAAAGTGTTAGGAATTTCAGACAACCACGAAGGACAGCTGTTTGTTAGAACCACAGGTAAAACAGCAGATATTTTGACTGAGTAGAAAGGCAGCCAGTAGGATAGCACAACTTCAGAAAAATAAAATGATTAAGTTACTGTCCTTGGACTCCTTCATAATGTAGCTTTCATGGGTGCTATAGCAGATGACAGTAGAGGTAGATACAGCCATGTGGCAGTCACAGCAGCCTGTCCCTTGCTGGGCTTAGCTGTGGTGCTGCTAGCTGCCCACTTGGGCTGGTGCATGCCAGCTGCAGGGCTGTGTTCACCCTGGCTGGGAGCTGGCAGGTGGGGGTCTGCATAGGGGCTGCCTTGTAATACTCGCAGGTGAGCCTGGTTCAGTTTCAGACCCTGGGAGAAGGTGCCAGCCTGGAGTGTTGCCAGGGGCTGCTCTCCACAGCCAGCATGGGAGAGGCCTTTCCTGCAGGTCTTAGATCTTAAGTTCTGTGCCTTGGTTACATGTGAGTTATAACACTTTTTCACATTGTCTCTGTATTACTCTTAGTGGTCAGTGTCTCAGAAAATTCAACTCTCCTTTGCCAGCTTGTGAATCCTAACTACAAACAGCTCTTAATGTATGGGGAGTCAGTGACTGGTAACTATGTTGTACTCTAGTATCAGGAAGTTTTATTGGTCAAAGACTGACCTGGAATAAGCACTGCTGCCATTAAGCTGTCAGTGTGGAGCAAATACATGGATGGAGTATACGAGTTACCACATAATAAACCTACAGCAGAAGTAGACAGTAGCATAGAAGAGTACAAATCCAGAACTCATAGAATCACCAAGGTTGGAAAAGACCTAAAAGATCATCCAGTCCAACCGTTCACCTCTTACCAACAGCTCCCACTAAACCATGTCCCTCAACACAACATCCAGCCTTTCCTTGAACACTCCCAGGGTCGGTGACTCCACCACCTCCCTGGGCATCCATTCCAGTGCCTGACCACCCTTTCTGAAAAGTAACACTTCCTCATGTCCAGCCTGAATCTCCCCTGCCGTAGCTTGAAACCATTTCCTCTGGTCCTATCACTGATGACACGAGAGAAGAGGCCGACCCCCAGCTCACTACAACCTCCCTTCAGGAAGTTATGGAGAGCAATGAGGTCTCCCCTGAGCCTCCTCTTCTCCAGGCTGAACATTCCCAGCTCCTTCAGCCTCTCCTCATATGGCCTGTGTTCCAGACCCCTCACCAGCTTTAATCTGTTTCTTAAAGTGGTTTGTTTCCTGTGTTGCAATGCTTAGCAAAAGCCAACACCGGGTAACAACAAAGAATAAAATGTGTATGTCTTCAGATTTTCTGTAAACAGAAGAGTTTGCTTTTGCAGAACAAACTCCTTACCTGAGGAGGTTCAGGTTTATCTCCCCTGTAAAGCAGTAGAAGAAAGACAGAATGGTGGATGTGTTCATGGGCTGGCACACCGCATCTTTGAGCGTTTAGAGATGAGGATGCTTCTGAGGAACCCAAGAGCAGGGTCTTTTGTGGCCGTGGCTCTCATTGGGCTTGGCTTACACCTAAGAAGTCTTAGTGCACTGCAGTTTATTTAGATCTACGGCTAGTTCCCACTGCGTCCGTGTGGGATTGAACTGGCACGTTAAAGGACGCCTTGCCGTAAAGGTCAGCGCCCTCCGGCCGGCTCTGCGGCCTTCTCGCTCCTTTCGGCAGGGCTTTCAGCTGGGGAGCCGTCCTGTGGAAAGGCGCTCCTTTCGCCCGCTGGGAGCGGCGCGTCGCGGCTCCGCCCTGACGGGCCTCTCCGCTGTGGCGGCCCGCGCCCTCGGGGGTCCCGGATTTCTCGCCCCGCCGCTGGCGCAGGGCGGCTGGGCTACGACGGGCGCTGCCACGGTTCCCCGACCCCGGCACCGCTACCAGCCGGCGGCCCCGCGCCCCCTCCGCCGCGGCGTTGCCATGGCTGCGGCGCTGCGGCGGCAGCGTCGGCGGGGCGGCGCCTGCCGCAGACCCCGGCCCGGCAGCGCAGGCCTCCGCCGCGGGGAGGCGGCGGGGCGGGCGCCCGCCCTCAGCGTCGGCGCGCAGGAGGCCGGCAGCGGCCGGGGCTGCGCGCTGGAGCCGCCGCGGCAGCGGGAAGATGGGAGCGCCGCACCTGTCCTTCGCCGCTCAGCATCGTCCCCTGTCCGCGGCACGGTAAGAGGCGGGGGCTGCCTGCTCCCACCGCGCCGCAACAGTGACGGCGGGGGGCCGGGACGGGAGCGGGGAGCGGGGAGCGGGGCCGGGGCGGCGGCGGCGTGGAGGGCGAGCGATGGCACTGAGATGGAGGCCGAGGAGGCGGAGGGGAAGCAGATGGGAGCGAGGAGAGAAGAGGAGGCAGGGATGCAGGTGATGATGGCGACGGCGATGGAGAGAGAGGTGTGGCAAGGATGCAGCCCGCAGCCGTGTCGGAACCCGCCTCAGCCTCCATCCCGCACCATTGTGCTCCAGGTCCGTCATTGTCTCGTCCTCGCCACGGCACGCGGTGCTGCAAATCGCTGCCTGCGGCGGAAGGAATTTTTACGGAGCTGAATTCGATGCGCGGAGCGGCGCAGCTGCGATGGGCCTCGGTGAGATGGCACTGAGCTGGGCGCTGGCGCAGCTGAGCAGGAGCAGCTGTGATGGAACTCCCCTGGTTTATTTTTACTTGTGGAGCATCTTTGCCTGTTCAGCGTTGCACGAGGTTTATTTCTGTGGTTTTTTTTTTGGAAACGCACCTGTACGTGTCTCAGAGTCTTAGAGCTGGTGGGTTTGTGGATGTGTGTGAGACCCCGCGAGCTTCGCCCCTTTGTACGCGCAACACATCTTTTTTTTGTTATTATTGGACAGCTGTTAGCTGATGGAATGCGCCAATTAGGCTGATGCACAATTTACTCTTAGGTCATGGAATTGCTGCCCCTCAGCTTCATGATGGCTGCTTAGGACAGCATCATGCATTTGGGCTGGTTTATGGCACTGAACGCTCATTTGTAGACTGTTTCTGTTTTCTTTTCTGAATATACGTATAAAAAAGATGCTGAGCATGCCCTGTAGGTTGGGAACATAGAGATGTGTCTTCTTTGAAATCGTAATTTGAACTCTTGTAAGGAAAAAAATAACGACGCGTGTTGTTGAAACCTTTGCGTTCTGAGCCTGCCCTGTGCATTACAGTAAGGTGATGCCTTGGGTTCTTATTCTCAGTCTCTTTCGTCTTTTCGGTCAGATTCTGCGTGTGTGTGCATATACCATGCCCTGTTTAGTAATCCGGGCTTTCTGTGCCCAGTCTCCTAGGCAGAGTGTTTGATAACCTTGTCCTTGTCATATTTTGGTGGTTTTTGACAATTTCTCTTCTTCCACTGGCCATTCCCGAATATGTCTTATGAGTGAGAGCCTCTGTGTCCTACTTACTAGGAAATGAACACAAAGTACAGCTGCATCGTGGTGGAGTGTTAAGAAGAAAGTTGCCTTTGTTCTTAACACCCCACTTCTTAATTTGTAAATGTGCGGTAGGGTCTGTGAGACATTTTATTATCAAGTTGCTGGAAAATGCTGCATAATTTCTCTGCCATTACAATGGATAAGTAGCCCTTGGGTGTTCAAGTCAGGAAAATACTGTGAAACACAACTGTCAGAACGGTGCTCAGAGTAATTTTCAGTTTTGTTTTCTATTCATCCAGTTGATATTACTGGTACTGTGGTTTAAAAACTGTATAATAATAGCCCGTCAACTTGTGAAAAAAGATATGGTAATGGATTCTACTGTCATAAGGCTGGTGTACAGGTGTTGAAATCCAAGTAGTTTGTGAATTACAACTTTTATCTTTTCCACCTTTTTGAATGAACTTTGGGACTGACCATGCTGTGAACTCATTTTTCACTACTGTGAAATTTTCACTAATGTGAGTGGGGGTTGCTTTGCACTGTGGTCAGTATTTATGCTTTCTGTTTTCTTTGTGAAGTTGTGAAACAGCAAAATAATTCTCATCAGCTACCTGAAATTTGGATCACATGGTCTGTCATGCTCCATATCTTCTATGTTCAGCCAGGTTTCTCTGCAACCCCTGTGCATCATAGCATCGCAATGTTTGGTTACTGCAAAATAAATGATTAAAATAATTACTTTAATTGATTTTACGACAGTATGTTTGCAGTGGATGTTTCTATAACAACTAGACTGCTCTAATTCCCAGGCAGGAAGCTTTTCAAAGTTCCTGTATAGATCTGTATCACTTCAACATCTGCTCTTGACTGGATTATAACAGTCGTGTTTTCCTGTCTTCAGAGACAGATTCTCTGCTGCCTTCTTTTTAGTCATCATCTACGTCTGTGCAGGGCATCAGTGCAACTCTGCCATCAGCTTTCAAGATCCAGAATCTTTATTACTTGCTTTTGTATCTTTAAGGTCTATTTGAATTTTTCCTTTAAAATATCAGGACTGAAAATCCTAAATGCCCCCCCTTCCCCTCCAGTCTAATTTATTTGTTGCAGGAGTTGGGGACCTGTATAGCAAGTTTATCAGCATGATGCTGACATGAAGTTGCAACGAGTGTATTTAGCAACTTTTTGGTAAATGACAGAAAAGCTGCAGATTGCACTGTGAAGTATCTGATGAACTTGAAAGGAAAAAATAGAGATAAGCAAGTGCTTTTCTGGATGCAGGCTTTCAGTTTGGATCATGGTGGGTTGCTGACAAACTGTGGCACATCCTGAAACCTTAAGGCCTGTGTGGGTTTTTTCCTGGAAGATCATGTTTGGACACTGCAGCCACTTCCCTTCACTGCTGTCAGAATAAAAGCAAGGTGGACTGAGTTGTGTGCCCATCTGCCTCGCAGTTACCTGAGAAAGAGGCAAATGAATGCAGAAAGTATTTAAGTACATGACTACACTATGAGAATACTCTCAGTGAACTGTGTAACAGCAGCCAACAAGTAATGAATACACCCGAAGAGCCAATATGCCACAATTCTATCTTCAGTTGAATTATAATTCTGTGATGAACAATAAAACAATCAGATTAAACTTATTTTTACACAATACAGCAAAATGACTGATTTGAATTAACTGATAACCACTGATATCAGTAAATAAGCTCAACTAAATGTCCAACAAATGTGGAAATTAAAATTGAAAAGAAGAAGAAATGCAGTTAAAACTTGCATGGAGTGTCCAGAGTAGATGAGAGTAATCAGTAATGAGTGAACATGTAAAGGTGGGAGAAATGGTAATTGCAGGTTTTCTGAGCATGTTTTTCTTCTATTAGCACTGGTTTGTTAAAATTCAGTAAGCAGACTTTTTTTTAATTGATGCATAAATATTTTTCATTATTAATTTGTGCAGTGTATGCAAAATCCATATAACTCAATGTTAATTATAACCTGTACTCAATTGTTTTGTATGTCTTTGATGTAGGATTGGTGTACAAATAAGATATTGAATAGTATTCAAAAGACCTGGAATTGTGTTAATCCATAACATTTTATTATAGTTCACTGAACATAAATGCTTTTTTGTTCCTGAAGTTCTGTTATTAGTAGATAAGTCTTTTTTTTTTTTTTTTTTTTTTTTTTTTTACGCTATGCTTTTTTGTATTTAATATTCAAGGTTCTGTGAGCTGATGTTTTCTGCCTGTATCAATGAGGAGGAAAATGAGATGCAGTCACTTTTGCAGAATCAGCTCAGAGAATTTGCTGCAGTTTCATAGGGCCCTTAGTAATATTCGCTTTCCATCTCCCCTCCCTGAATAGAAATTATAATCAGTTATAATCACTCTCAGACAAACAAAGGGTGTTTGTAGACCATTGCACTTGAAGTACATGTAGTAATTTACAGCTGAAAGAACAATTGTGTGGATTACTATTTGATTGCTTGTAACTGAATGAGTGGTTGGATTAATTAATTTGGAAATGCTTTAAGGAATTAAGCTATAAGACGAGAGTGTGCCCAGCGCTTTAGAGGCACAACTAACTGCAAATCAGCATCCACGTATATTCAGTGGTAAGCATTACTGGCTGAACGGACTGGCCTGTTTTTGCAAAGGTCTGCGTTAGCAGATCACTTCTGAATTGCTTTGCATGTTTTGTGGGTCACAGAATGACACACATGTTGCCCTTTCCTTGAAATATGTGGTCAGTGTCAGTGATCTGCATGGTGACCTGTGTAGGATGAAGTCAATGAAGGTGTAAGCGTTGTTCTTGAAAGCAGACTGTAGGGCTCTTGAGGGCTTGTAGACTGGTGCATCTATCTTTCAACGTACGATAGAAGGGTAAAAATCACAACAATCAGAAATGAAAAAGAGCAACTCTGGTAATATTGTATCCCTAAGTGAATAATCTGTGTGTTTCTAGTGAATTCTGTTTCTAGCACTGCTGTTTCTAAAGAAAGGCATTTTGACTCGAAGGTGTGTTGAAACAGATAAGAGGACGTTCACATACATACTCGTATTTCTGCTGGAAAGCTGATCTGAAGAGACAAACTGTAATGCACATTGGCTTAGATTTGTACAGCTTGGAGTATAGCCTGTGGTAATGGGAACATGCAGAGTCTTATCCCAGACAACTTAAGTGAGATACAGGACACGGGAAGTTAGAAAGATATGTTCATCAGGTTCTGAAGGGCACTGACAGTGATGCAGAGAGAGGAAAAAACCCCACGGAATCACACAATCATACATGTTTTGAAGATATATTGAACTTACAATGAACTGTAGGAATGAAGTGATCTGGTCAGAAGCAAGATGTCCAAAGAAGGAAAAGTTATCAGAGAGATCTACATTGTTAGAAGTGAGGAAGGGAGATTAGAACACAGAGTTTTCTTATTCACTCTGACATCTTATGTAAATCCCCTTTCATCAACTGCAGGAAGAATTTAGCTAAAGGTGGCAGAAATTCTTACAGGCTAACTCCACTTTTAATAGTAGTATTTAAATATCTGACAGCTTTTAGTGGTGAACGTTTTGTTTTCTTGCTTGTATGCATTTTGATTAAATAAAATATGTATTTGCTGGCTTATCAAAATCAAAATCAAAAGAAGGGCCTGATAATATAAATCATGGAAATTGCAGTATTTATCTTTCAGGCTCCACGTGTTTCTCTGATGGGATTTGAGTGTGATCCTACTTGCATAACATTCCTTTACAAAACAGCTTTCTTGGTAAACCACGGGTAGGCCTGGAGTAACGT